ACGACGACGGGCGATACGTCGTCAGCATACCCTTCGACGAAAAAATCGTAGAATTGGGGGAATCGCGGGAACAAGCTGAGCGCCGGCTCATTTCATTGGAACGGAGATTCAGGAAAAACCCGGAACTCCATCAAGGGTATATAGATTTCATGCGTGAATACGAATCGCTCGGACATATGTCCAAGGTTGATGAAAATTCGTTAGAGAATCAACTTGGCTATTATTTGCCCCACCACGCGGTTTATAAGGAGTCCAGTACAACGACCAAACTTCGGGTAGTATTTGACGGATCTGCCAAGACATCCTCGGGGATCTCGTTGAATGACGCGCAGCTAGTAGGCATGCCCGTACAGAGTGATCTCGTCACTATTTTACTTAGATTTCGAAAACATCGGTATGTCCTGTCGGCGGACATAGAGAAAATGTACCGGCAAATTCGCGTGCGAGAGGAACATCGTAGATTTCAGCGGATACTATGGCGTTCAAATGTCAATGACCCCATTAGCGTTTACGATTTGAATACCATAACGTATGGCACCGCGTCGGCATCGTTTCTAGCAACGCGCGTGCTCAAGAAAATCGGGGAAGACTGCATGCAATCGCACCCGCTCGCTAGTCGTGCGATCATTCACGACTTCTATGTGGATGATCTGCTCACGGGATGCGATAGTTTAGAAGGGGCCGTGAAACTAAAGGCTTCATTAACCGAGGTCTTGGGCAATGCCGGAATGCCACTGCGAAAATGGGCTAGCAACCACATAGGGGCGCTCGGCAGCGATCGTAACGGAACACCGGCTAGCTTTGAAATCGCGGACACTGGAAGGGATCCGAAGACGTTAGGCATCTGTTGGACCGCTGAACCAGATGAACTACGGTACTCGCTCCGCGACAATAGGACGAACAAGATTACGAAGCGTACCATTCTGTCGGAAATCGCGCAAATATTCGACCCGCTCGGACTCATTAGCCCCATCGTGATCCGAGCAAAATTCATCATGAAGCGACTCTGGCAATTAGATGTGGGATGGGACGAAACCCTATCCCAGGAGATGCACACGTAATGGAACGACTTTCGTGCTGAACTGAAGCAGGTTCCATTGGTGGTCATTCCGCGGCGCATGGTACTAAACAATCCGAGGGAAATAGAATTGCATGGCTTCTCTGACGCATCGGAACAAGCCTTTGGGGCCACGGTATACCTGCGGTCAAAAACGGTCGAGGGGGCGTGGTCGACGCGATTATTGTGTGCCAAGTCACGCGTAGCGCCGTTGAAATCGCTGTCACTGCCGCGATTAGAGCTGTCTGGTGCTCTTTTACTAGCGCGACTTGTTTCATACGTGAAGGAAGCGCTACAGATCGAGTTCGCGCGCGAATATTGTTGGACCGATTCAACGATCGTCTTGGCCTGGCTGAGGGCTGAACCGAGCCGATGGAAAACGTTCGTCGCGAATCGCGTTTCGGAGACACAGAGTCTCACCAAAATTGAGGCCTGGCATCACGTAAGATCTGCCGATAATCCTGCGGACATTGTATCGCGGGGGATCGCTGTTTCTGCCTTGAGAGACAGCGACCTTTGGTGGCACGGGCCGCAGTGGTTGTCGCAGAATTGCGACGATTGGCCAGCTTCAAGGCCAACAACCTCGGTGGAAATACCCGAAGAAAAACGGTCGGCCGCGACTCACGCAGGCCCGGCTAGCGCCGCGGCCTTGAGTGATTTCAACTTAGCCTCTCGTTACTCGTCCTACGAAAAATTGCTTCGGATAGTAGCTTACTGCTTTAGATTCGTGGATAACGCGCGGGCCAGGGGATCGCTACAGGGAAGTCGCGGTGATCCCTCCGATCACCATCCCCCATCCGCCGACGAGATCGGAAGGGCAGAGCGAACTGTCATCAGAGTCGCCCAAAAATGTCATTTTCATGATGAAATGCAATGCCTCGCGTCAGAAAAGCCAATTGGAAGGGGCAGCCCGCTAATTTCATTATGCCCATTCATCGATAACTATGGGCTTCTCAGGGTGGGCGGACGTCTCTTGAACGCGGACTTAGAAACGGATAAAAAACATCCGATAATTCTCCCAGGCTCGGACGCGCTTAGTAGATTGATTGTAAGGCGCGAGCATAACCGTTTACTGCACGCTGGACCGCAACAAACACTAGCATCGCTGCACGATCGATTTTGGATAACATCCGGAAGACGGCTCGTAAGGGGGGTACTGCGTCAGTGCGTAAGATGCTTTAAGATCAATCCGACAAGCCCGCAATATAAAATGGGCAACTTACCTGCCGATCGCGTGACCCCAGACCGCGCGTTCGCTACCTGCGGCGTGGACTACGCGGGCCCCTTTCTAATTCGAGGAAGGGGTCGCGCTCGTGCGAGCGAGAAAACCTATATATGCCTCTTTGTCTGTTTCGTTACAAAGGCCACACATATCGAATTGGCCACAGACATGACGACCGACGCGTTCTTACAATGCCTCCATCGATTCATAGCACGGAGGGGTAGATGTCGAACCATCTATTCCGACAACGGTAGAAATTTTATTGGCGCCCGAAGTGGATTAAGGGAATTAGGCTTACTGTTAGACTCTCGTACGCATCACAATCGCATTATAGACACGTTGGCGCAGGAGCGCATCGCTTGGCACTTAATACCGCCAAGCGCTCCGCATTTTGGCGGCCTATGGGAGAGGGGGGTGCGATCTGTAAAAACCCACTTGAAGAAGGTCGTCGGCGAGCAGAGGCTCACGTATGAGGAGTTATACACGATACTAACGCAAGTTGAAGCCTGCCTCAACTCCCGTCCTCTGCACCCCATATCCACTGATCCCAACGACCTGAACCCCCTCACGCCCGGTCACTTCCTCATCGGAGATGCGTTGATGGCACTCCCACAGCCGGACCTAACTAACGTAACCGAGACCAGATTAAACAGGTATCAGCTGGTGCAAAAAACCATACAACACTTCTGGAAGAGGTGGCAGCGGGAATACCTCCACGGCCTGCAACAACGGCACAAGTGGCGGACCGACTCACCAGACTTGATCCGGATAGGCGCTATGATTCTCCTAGGAGAAGACAACCTACCGCCACTGCAATGGCGATTAGGGCGCATCATCGATCTGCACCCTGGACCTGATGGAGTCGCCAGAGTGGTCTCCGTACGAACGGCCCATGGAACACTCAAGAGGCCAGTCAAGAAGATTTGCGTCCTGCCAGATGCAGAGGATGCGAATCATTCTCCCACTTAATTTGTCAGACTTGTATATATCATATCTCGTGAACATATGTAAATATTCAATACTTTAGCGTATCAATAGTCTCTTAGAATTCGCTACTAGTCATTGTCATTGTTGTCTCTTGCCGTATCGTATGAACTTGTATGTCTCTTGTTTTTTTTCTCGTGTTGAACGCCAGCCGTTCAAGGCGGGCGGTATGTTTAATCCTCGACAGGTATGTCAGCCGCCCGACCCTTAGATTTCTTAGTATGTAGTTCTATTGTATATATTTTTCGCCTTCACTCGTTTCGTAGCAGCGGTAATTTTATGACGCCACGGCAATCGCGCTCTTTCAGTCTAAGAATTTGCTTTTACCTTTTATTGTCTCGTTTTCTACTTAGAATCTTCGCCCCTTTTTTCACTTGTGCATTTTGCAGTTTTATGGTCACCAGAGCCGAAGCGCGTCTTAACGTTATTGTCTGCTACAGTCATTGTTCCAGGCACTCGGAATTTCCGCGTGCGTCACTCAAGGGTACGCTTGGTACCTAGGAGTGACATATGGTCTGGGGGGTGGCATTTTCGTGTAGTTTTTCCCACCCATGATTTAGCCAATAGTTTTCGCCAGCCACCCTTCCCCACCACTATCGAAAATGTACTCAACCTATCCGAGGGCCTCACCCTCGCGATGCGTCCTCGCACCGAGGTGTCGTGGGACCTTTCGCGGAAGGGAACATTAGAAACCATCTGACCACACCAAGAGTCGAGTCACTAGAAGTTTAGACCATTAGTAATAGTTGTTTGTCCTCCGTCATAAGGAGGTGGTCCTTCGAAAACGAACCCTTAGACTTAGTTGGCACTCCACGTGCAAAAATCGACAAAGCTCGAAAGGGTTGATTGCAACGAAACACGAGCACATCATAAACAAATAATAATCTATTGGCACTAAAGGCTCTTGGCGAACCAACAGATTCTTGGGATACACTCGTAATATATTTATTAACGTCAAAATTAGATAGTAACACACAACGTGAATGGGAAAGGAAAATGAGTAACATTCAAGGAGATGTATCGTTGCGCGATATAATTAATTTCCTTGAAAATCAGTGCAAATATTTGGAAAGACTCACATCAGATAAAACAATAACCAACAAATTTACTAATGAGGTTAGGCAAAACAAATTTAAATACGTTGCTACACACGTATCGAACTCACGTACTGTATGCTCTCTCTGCAAGGGAGACCATCAATTACATAGTTGTTCTAGTTTCTTAAAATTATCACCCATTGAACGCCGAGGTAAAATTCAAGACTTGCATGTATGTTTTAATTGTCTCACAGCAGGACATCGCAGCATAGACTGCACACGAAGTTTTTGTAAAAAATGTTCTAAAAAACACAATACACTCTTACATATAGATTATCCTACAAATACACCACATCAAATTAGAACAGCACCCACCACGTCAAGACAAAACATATCCAACGTAAACGCACACACTACCACAGATACGCACGAATTTGTAACCGCACAAACAGTCAGTACACTAGAAAATAAAGTAACAATGCTAGCTACTGCCTTAGTTTATATCGAAGACCACCACGGTGTAAAACAAGAATGTCGTGCTCTCCTAGATTCTGGTTCACAGTCACATTTTATATCAGAGAAATTGCAAACAAACTACAATTAAACCGCACTAGGATAAACGTTCGAGTCTCAGGGATAAGCAAGCTGACAAGAAATATTGAATATCAGACGCACACAAACATAGTTTCACGATATAACGGTTTCAATAAATCAATCTCCTGTTTGATTTTGCCAACGATCACCGACAATATTCCCAACCGACTAGTCGATTCATCATTACTAGGAATTCCATCGACGATGTTTTTAGCAGATCCCTACTTTAACACTCCCCGAGAAGTCGACATGATTATCGGCGGAGATTTATTCTGGGATTTGATGTGTGTAGGGCGTCACTCCTTAGGGCCCCGTCATCCATCGTTACAAAAACACAGCTAGGTTGGATTAGTGTGGGAAATTTAGAACTCTCTCCCTCTTTCGCGGAAACACGGACAATTTGTCAATTGATAACGAACGAACAAATACACGATCAGTTAGCGAAGTTCTGGGAAATAGAAAATGGCATACACGAAAATACAAACACATCATATTTTTGTGAGGAACACTTTACCTCTACAGTAGATCAAAACAAGGAAGGGAGATATATTGTAGCAATTCCATTCAAGGAAAATTTAGGAATGTTAGGCAAGTCAATGCAACAAGCAGAGAAGAGATTGCTCAATCTAGAACACAAATTAAATACACAACCCGATATCAAAGACGAATACACTACATTTTTAGAAGAATATGAGTCATTAGGGCATATGAGCGAGATTACAGACAAAGAACAATTAGACACAGCGTATTATTTACCACATCACGCGGTTTATAAAGCAAGCAGCACTACTACAAAATTGCGCGTAGTCTTTGATGGTTCTGCCAAAACCACATCTGGGCTATCATTAAACAATGTCCAGTTCGTCGGACCCGTAGTTCAAAATGATCTCATATCAATTTTATTACGATTCCGAAAGCATCGTTACGTTATCTCAGCAGACATTGCAAAGATGTATCGTCAAATTTGGGTACGAGAACAAGATCGTAAGTTTCAACGAATTCTTTGGCGTAAAAATAGAAACGAAACAATTAAAGCATACAGTCTAAATACAGTCACGTATGACACAGCATCAGCTCCATATCTTGCCACTAAGGTTCTTCAACACAATGGAAAAAGACACCAAGAAACTTATCCTCTCGCTAGTCGCGTCATCGTACACGATTTTTACGTGGACGATTTATTAACCGGGACAGACTCAATTTCCGATACAATACAATTAAAAACCGAATTAGACAACATTCTTCGCTCTTCAGGTTTTGAGCTTCGAAAATGGGCTTCAAACGAAACGAGCATTCTCTCACCTCAAATAGTAGATTCAAAACAGTTACAAATTGTACCAGATACAGCAGCAAAAACATTAGGCCTATGTTGGAATTTTGATCAAGATATACTAACCTTTTCAGTCAAAAACTCCGCAAACCCACGCATCACAAAACGTACCATTTTATCGGATATATCTCAAATTTTTGATCCCCTTGGTTTAATCGGTCCAGCGACAATTCAGGCCAAAATCATTCTCCAAGAATTATGGCAACTTCGCGTTTCCTGGGATGAATCACTACCCCAGCATCTCCACTCACAATGGAACACGTTTCGCGAAGAACTTATGCAAATAAATAATATTAAAATCCCGAGATACGCTTTAACTACCGATAGAAAAAGAATTGAACTTCACGCCTTCTCCGATGCTTCGGAAAGGGCTTACGGGGCATGCGTTTATCTACGTACACTAGACAATAAAAATAGATGGTCCACAGACTTATTATGTGCCAAATCTAAGGTTGCACCCTTAAAGGTCATTAGTTTGCCGCGGTTAGAATTATGCGGTGCTCAGTTATTAGCGCAGCTAGTAAAAAGGGTTCGCTCATCAATAGACATCGCATGTGATGAACACTATTGGTGCGATTCTACAATCGTTCTCGCATGGATCAGTTCTCCATCAAAACAATGGAAAACATTTGTAGCTAACCGCGTGTCAGAGATACAAAGATTATTACCAGGAAAATGGTCACACGTAGCTTCATCCGAAAACCCTGCTGATATAATTTCACGGGGAATTAGCCCATCTTCCCTAATTAACAATAAACACTGGTGGAATGGTCCATACTGGTTGCTAAAACATTTACCACAACCATGTCTCGACATTCACAATCAGCTCTCTACAGAGAGTGTAGCACAAGAATCTAGAATCAGTTGTGTCGTTACTCCCAGTATAAACAACGACATATTTAATAATTTTTCTAGTTACTCGCGACTAACACGAGTAATTGCATACTGTCTCAAATTTATAAATAACACGCGCATGAAAATTCAAACTCATAAGGGTATAGCACTCTCAATTCAAGTAAATTCCAATCAGTGGTTAACCTCACAAGATTTAATCGAGTCAGAAAAAACAATCATTGAAATGACTCAATGCATTGAATTCTCAGACGAAATCAAACGTCTGCAAGCAGGTCAGACTGTAGCAAGGACAAGCCCCTTAATCGCATTAAATCCAGTTTTAGATAAAACCGGATTACTTAGGGTGGGCGGTCGGCTCATAAACGCAAAACTCTCATTTGATTATAAACATCCGATCATTCTTCCAGCAAATCATCATATAACAAAATTAATTCTCTTACGTGAACACGTACGTTTGCTACATGCAGGGTGTCAGGCAACCCTTTATTCTGTTCGCAAGCGCTACTGGCCTTTGTCTGGCAAAAGGTTATTGAAGACAATAATAAAACGATGTATACCATGCTTCAGAGCCAAACCCGTCAGTCCGAATTAGACTATGCAGGTCCATTTTTAATTAAAGAAAAAACGCGTTCAAAAACCACATTAAAGGCATATTTATGTATATTTGTGTGTTTTTCCACTAAGGCCGTACATTTAGAGCTGGCAATAGACATGACTTCGCAATCGTTTTTGAATTGCTTGAAAAGATTTATATCGCGTCGCGGATTATGTCATACTATTTTCTCAGACAATGGCACTAACTTTGTCGGAGCACGCAACGAGCTTTTAGACCTAAGTAAATTGTTAACTGACAAAGAACACCATCAACGCGTTAAAAAATTCTTGAGCGAAAATAACATTCAGTGGAATTTAATTCCTCCTCGAGCTCCACATTTTGGAGGACTGTGGGAAGGAGCGGTTAAATCCACTAAATACCATTTAAAGCGAGTCATTGGCGAAACTCGACTAACTTACGAAGAATTATATACAATACTGACTCAGATCGAAGCTTGCTTGAATTCACGTCCCTTATCCCCCCTTTCCGATGATCCAACAGACTTGTCTCCTCTTACACCTGGACACTTCCTAATAGGCGAGTCACTAACCACATTTTCACAACCAGACTTGAACCATATCAAGGAAAATCGACTCAGTCGTTATCAGCATTTACAGCGAATGTTACAGCACTTTTGGCAACGGTGGCAAGCTGAATATCTACATCAATTGCAACAACGCAACAAATGGCGGAAAAACTCTCACGCCACCTTTGGGCCCGGGACACTGGTTCTAATCAAGGATGATAACCTTCCACCACTTAAATGGAGGCTGGGGAGAATCGTCGAGCTTCATCCTGGAACTGACAACATCACCCGCGTGGTATCCATAAAATCAGCGGAAGGATTGGTCAAACGACCACTCACCAAAATATGCGTCCTGCCAATGGATCAAGAAATAGAGATTCCTCCAGACAAATAATCAAAAATTGTACATGTCATTAGTATTTATGTTTTAATTGTATATGTAGTCAAACCTAGTCTAATGTATATTGTAAACTTTATATATTCAAAGATCTATTTTCACGTAATTTAAGCTACCGTCACATCACACACACACTTGTATATATCACACACATAATCTTTGAACGCCAGACGTTCAAGGTGGGCGGGATGTTAGGTTTCATTCAGCAAAGGTTTATGGCACGGTCGCATCTACAGGCTGTTTTTGAGATTAGGATTTAATTTACTATTTTATGCTTTAACGTCCATCCTAGCGAAGGCCGGTAGAATCACTTAATTAGAGTTTTTTGCCGCTTGTGCCTTTCGCGCTCAATAGCTTAAGAACATGCCATAAACCACGGGTTTTCCGAAGGGTACAATTGTCTGTAACGGTCCGCTGGCCGATGAGTCACCCGGAGGAATTTCCCGAATTATTATAAACATTTGACCACCCCTTGGGATCTTCTCCCACTCCACCAGGGTAAAGCGCGCTAAGGGCGCACTGGAAGGAGTTGGCGAGAAAATCAGGCACGTTGATTGGCGATGAATATTAGAAAATATTCACCAATCAGCGTATTCTTCAAGTCTGGACTGTTTTTCCTAAAAGATTCTAGCATATGCGACATGAATTTAGACTCTATCATTAAATTAAATTTGTCCCAATCAGCCAATCTAATATTGAAAGGCCTGTTCAGTATGGAAATATCTTCAGTGTGTCTGCGATCTCGAATCTTGAATGTGATCAAATTATGATCAGAAATTGCCGATAAGTCTGTAATTTTCCAAGAGTGTACATGCGCACTAAGTTCTCTCGAACAAAGTGTCACATCAATGTTCGACGATCTACGCGTATTTAAAAATGTTGTTAAAGTAGATGGCTGGTTAATAATTATAAAATCATTTTCAAAAATAAAATCTTCCACAAATTTCTTTCCATTATCATCTGTCTCGTCTGAGAACCAGGATGTCGATTTGGCGTTCGCGTCCATAACTATAAGTATCCGTCTAGAATCTAACCTTTCCAAACAGGACTCGAGATCAGTAATAAATTTATTTATAAGTTGAGAGAACTGACAGTAAATGTTTATGATATAAAAACTAAAATTACCATAAAATAGATGAAAAACCATTAAATGCTCTGTTTCCAGAAATGTCACCGAGAAGACATCCAGTTTCCGATCTACCACCGCGGCAAGCCACGGTGCGTCATGCTTAGGAAATAGCGTAATCAAATTTGTGGTGGCATTATAGCCGCAAACTTTGCCCTTATAGGAGTAGGGTTGCTGTAGACACAGAATGTCTATTTTGTGCTGAGTTGAAATGTTCGTAGTTCAGCCGCTGCTGTCCTAGATCTTTGGGCGTTTATGTGTGCGACTACTAAGGTCCATTGAACCTTTTCCTGGTACAGCTCAACTTGTCTCAAGTACTCAGGGCATCCCTTACTCCTTACGCTGTGCAATACGTCCTTTCTTTTGTACCATGTATATAACAGGCACTTAGGATTCTCTTTGCTCGGGCATTTATCCCCTTGATGCTCAGTACTGCCGCAGCTTTCACATATTTGTGACGCCACTGAACAATACTTGGCAACGTGTCCATATGCATGACACTTAAAGCAACGCACAATAAATAATCTTCAAATTTATACGCTCTCCAGAGCATAAATATCCTTCCTCTATTGTTTAATTTATCCAGAGCCGGTCCTGGCAACTGGACAATCCAGTTAACTCTACCTTCATTTCTTGTTTTGAAAGCGTATTTAAACTTCATTTCGCTCTTGATTCTACTCACTTCATTCGGAGTCAACTTGGCAAAATTTTTTGAACAAAAATCATCCAGAAGTTCTTCTGGCCTCCATTATTTTTCCACGTCATAAATAATAATAGACGGGTCTATTTTTTTTTGGTTCTGTGGCATTTAAACCAATATTTTCCAAGTTGGACTCCTTAATAATTTTTATGTCTTCCGTGCTGTTCGCCTCAATTAACACTCCTTTGTTTCTCAATTGCCTAATCTGCGTTATCTTCAAATTCTTCCGATTACTTGCTAAAACTTTAGTTACCTGTTTCTTGAACTCTTCGTTAGTTCTTTTATCGCTCTCGTCTCTAGGTTTTAAGAATATCACCTTACCCTTTTCTTTCTTTTTTACAGAAGCGCGAGCAGGCGCACCGGCAGCATCGCCGCCATTTGGGCGCAGGTACCGGACTGTTTTTTTAGACATTCGTTGTGCATTGCCGTAACCTTTTCTTTTTCTAAGATTTCTTGCTCTAGACGCATTTCAAGTATAGCCCACTTGGCCAACACAAATCGTGCAATACTCTTTTTTATTTTATTGTTCTCATTAAATAGAAAACTTTGCAACGTGTCGCTTTCAACCTTTATTTCTTCTAGAACGCCCCTGCCTACAGATAGCCCACCATCAGCACTCCCTTCAATAGCAGCTCTTCTCCTTTTGGTTCCTGACGCTCCAAGAACGGTGTCGTCCGCGATGGACGACACAGAACTCGTCCTGCTCTGCCCCTGAGTGAGGGTATCGATCCTCCTTGTTTCCACCTCCTCATCTTCGCTTACACTAAGTTTGGTTTCTTGTTTGAGTTTTTTAGTATCCATGTTAGATCCCACGAGAACGGCAACAAAGGAGGTCCACCTGGGTAGAGCTCCCATTGCCCACGTAAGGCTAAATAAGGTCCGGGTCTTGCAGTCGAGGGAGACGGACGTGTCGGTCGAAGCTCCCGAGATAACAGAATCTATAGTCGGTAAAAAGTGGAAGCGGTGCTCCGAATGTACAGTCAGGATGAGCAGTAGCACGCCGCGAAAAAGGCGACGGTAGTGCGAAATCGATACGGTAACCCTCAATGGATATATCCGCCGTGGAGCAATAGCGGTACTTGCCGCATGGCGCAATACGAATAAAAATAGAAACTAGATAGAAACGCGTTCGCCCAGGCTCCGAGTGGTTATGTGATGTCAAACGTGATGTTAAATATGTTGTAAACGTGAAGAAGTGCCCGGTGAGTGGTTCGGAAGGAGGCAGAGAGGTCAAGAAATGCACTTACCTTCTCTTCTTCTGCATCCTCTTCGGTAACGGACGATGGCGGAGGGTACCGTTTGGAGATAACGACACGGCGGTTGGATTCCTGCGGAGAGGATAGATGCCGTGTCCAACGTTTCCCCCGGTGCCTTACTGCTGCGGGATGCACAAATATCGAATCTTCGAAAGGTAGGTGACATATGAACAGCACCAAACACCGAAAACGCGACAGCGACAAGGAGGAAGGACTGAGCGCCACCTATATCCGGAAGGAAACGAGTGGCGCCACCTAGTTTGTTGTTTGCGATCGATGCCCCAGAAGATTTTCTGCCTCCTACGGGACGGCTGGCGCCATCTCCTGGGACAGGCGTGAGGAATATCGCGGCGCCCGGTACGACACCTACGCGCGCGAAATGCAAATGCGGTAGCAGGACATTGACAATTACAGCGTTAAAGGATATACGTAATCGTGCGTAAATGTGAATATATGGTGTGATAGCTTCAGGACGAGGGTTAATTTATTAATGTAAAACAAGATACAATAAGCCTAAGAGTACAAAGCCGCGATATCGTTAATAGCTGCGGAAATAAAAGTAAAAATAAAATAGAAATAAAACTAAGTAATGTAAGCATAATTGCGGACCGTTAGACTAACGAAGAGGAATTACGTTAAAATCGGCCGATAGTGACGTGTGCAAATTCGCGATATTGATTAAAACGGTATAAAACATTATAGAATGGTTATAAAACGCTAGTATAAATAAAGGTACTACTTAAAGCTTTTAAAAACTTATAAACTAAAGCGATAGTTATTATCAGTGCTACTAGCAAGAGACGGTATATCAAATCATTCTACATGCATGGGAATGAGAATCCGCGGGACGAAGACGCTAGAACGGTAAATTCCTATATAAACTTCACAAATTAAAGATATCAGTAGAGCCAACAAAGAGGCGTACGCCGAATAAAATCGCCTATATCGACACGTATAAAGTCACGATATCAACGATCGTTAAGAGTTGCGAAATAAAATAAAGTAGCGTAAGCATAATTACAGACTATTAAAGCCTCAAGAAGAGGCGTTACGCTACATTAAAATTGGCTTTTAGTGACGCGAGTAAATCCGCGATATTAACTAAAACAGCATAGAACATTATAAAATGAAAGCGAAAGAACGCTCCTAAAGCCGATGGAAGAGACGTTAGAGTATTCGAAGTTATCGGTATACGCTAAATCTCATCGATCGCTGTATCAAGACGAAAGCGGGGTGGCTGGCGCCATCTCGCGAAGGAGACTAGAAGCGTACGTCGGTTGGAGGTATCCCCGGAGTCATCTGGCGGAGGGCCTCCGGATGACGGTGTCGGTACTGCGGATCTCTACAAGAAAGGCATTTTAATTAAAACGAAAATAGAAGTAGGACTTTTTAAACGAAAAGCGGTAGGGTGAACGGAGAGAGAATGGATCTCGGCCCGTTCGGTCATACCTTGTACGTCCTGTATTACGTGTTTGTGTGTGTTGTTTCTGGACTGGACTTTCGATGACGACCTGGCGCACGTCCACGGACTTTGAAATATTTAAAAAATAAATATGGATAGTACAATTAAAGGAATAAAGTTTACGGTGCAGGGAGCGTCGGACCCCCCAGTACCCGCCGGTAAGGGTGGTGAGCGGACAGGCTC